TACAAAAAGGTATGAAATAAAAACAACCGGCTTGTGGATAATTGTATTAAAACCAAAAGTGGACATCATGATAGTAAGACCTATATTGGTAGCATTATACATTGCAAATGAACTTTGTCAGCCTAGGGATTATAGCCTCCCATTGTATTTCCTTTATGAATGCATCTATTAATGATACATTGCACTTACCTATTTCATTGCACTTTAATGATTCACCTTAGCACCTTAACTTTTCTAAAACAGCTTACTATCCCTTGTAAACGTTGTACTTACCTCAATATTGGTTGGTTATCGTATGCCTACAAACACGGGTTGAAAACGAAACGAAGTCGATTTTCCTGCGCAGCCTGGAGGACTACTGTTCATCTCAATAATGATACGGCCTGGGTCAGACAATGAGTGTATTTATATATATTTAGCTGTTCAAACATTATTAACCTGTAGACAATCTACTATTTGACATTATATAATACTTGATCGTGCCTGTAAAAATGGCATGCATTTTCATGTAAATTTATGTTTATGTGAAAATATATATTATTATTAGAATAAAGACCGTTTGAAACACAAGTTTACCATAATGCTACAAACTGTGTTCATAGTGTTAACGCTTCTTGTCTTTGAATGAAAGCCAGTCCTTGCTGAATACACAAAAGCAAAAATAATGCTGAAATTATGTGAGCAATTCTAACAATTACCACACTAGTTAAAACTTTGGGAGATGCAGGGGATATCTACATTTGTTCCAAGTATGATATATACAACTCAAGTTCTTCTACCCACAGCTCCCACGGTATTTGTTCTGTGTAAAGCAAGGGCAAATCAAACTACCAAATCGATTGTCTGGAATGAGGAGTATGCTTCGAGATGGAAACCGTATTGCGCTGCTGGTTGACGGACTAGCTAGTGATCACTCATGAATGGACGAAAGTAACATGATGGCGTGCCGAATGGTGTGGATGCTTGGCCGTTGGCCTTCAGCCTAAGGAATAGACTTCAGCAGCGAAGGTCAGCATCCAGTGGTGAGTAATGAATGATAGAGGCTGATAATCTCGAGTAATTACTTGCCACAACAACACAATAGAATTTCATCAAATAGGCTAAATATGGCAGCATGATAACGCGAACACGGAATATGTATGTTTTACTTCCGAAGTTAATGCTTCCCTTAATCCACTGTATAGCGTAGCTGTCAGTATCAAGCGACGTTTTTCGATGCAATTTCAGCAGCTATAACACAGCTCAAGTGTATTATACTGCCGATATTATGCAGGTTTCACAGTTTTTAACTCACAATTTCATCTAGAAAGCATATAAAAATATAACACCTGTGACGTAACCAACAAAACAACTGGCTGAGAAGCTACCATTTGGAGGGATATGACATCAATCCATTTCAGCACATCACCCAGTTACGCAAAACAGCATTTCTCTTATGGGTAGATACACCCGGAAAAGAACACTAGTAAAATTGGATAAGATGCTTCACATACCATCCCGAATAGGTTTCATTTCCACACATAAATTGCATATATAGACATATTTAGCAGCAATAATATGTTTCTTTGTTTACAGAGTGCCACCACAGACATGTTCTCTGTAGCAGTCAGTTGACTCATTACCCGAAAAAAGCTAGGAAACTAGATCAGAAGCTGACTGGCAACGCGAAAGATGAGCATCATTCTTGATACTGAATGAAAGTTACCGTTTAGGAATTTGCTTGCTGATACTCCATTAATCCACTCATAAGCAATGTTACATCCAAAACAGAGCATAATTTGAAAGTGATAAGCTAGTATTGGTCACGATGATGTAAAACAGATTGAAAGAGTCGGCAAAATTGTTTACCAACCACAGCGTGACCTTAGTTCACACGCTGGCGCCATTTACAATCTCGTCTTCGCCGTTATGGTAGACTCCAATGTTGTGGTTGGTGTTAGTGGCCTCCTTAATCATGCATGGCTGTCAGGGAATACACTGGGTGTCTTCAGAAAGTCAAACGATACCCTTAAACCGAAGTCAGGTGATTTGATGATTGAGGAAGTTAAGGGGAGCACTTCAATGCATAATGATGAATTTATGAGGCGCCTTGTTAAAAACTCATTCGGTAAGTCGATTACAGTGGTAATATTAAGGTTCTTAGGAGTATTTTTGGCTCTTCAAAAGGATACACAACGAAAATCGTAGGTCACACACCTTTAACATGCTAGTTTTTAGGTGTATTAATTATAGTATTCACTATCGAGCTGCTTTGGCTGCATGTTCCAACGAAATATTTTCATTTCTAAGTAAGAATTTTAAAACTAACCTCTTCAGATAATTCGGATAGCATTGATGAGGCCAGAGCAATGCACCTTACTGCTGAAGGAAAATTAATTCAAACTTTTGAACTTTTATGGCATCTCGCGGAGCTGGTTTTCATCCAGGTATATTTTTGTTGTAATCATAACACCTTGGAAATGATTTCAAAGTATCACTATACTGTTTATTCACTCATAAAAGTCCGTTTCATCCACACAGTAATGTAGTAAGGTTAAGGCAATTTTCAGTGAAGTAGTCTTTCTTAACTAACGACTTCATACTGTTAATTAGGATTCATTATTAAATAGAATTGTAATATCCGTCTTTTGGATATAAACACAGGTAGTTGTCTTCTGAATTTTAGGGATGTTTTCACCCATCTTTGTGAATCATAAAAGGGTTAATTGCCCACTTCAGTAGTTCTGACTGTATCGCTAACCATAACCTAGAAACCTCCGAACCACCATACAATGCACACCAACAGTAAAGATGTGACGTTTTATTTCTGTATTCATCTGTGAGGTTTTCACAACTAATTCTTTAGCTGTCGCGATAAGATGAAACAAATGGTAGTTGGTTTAAGTTCATGAAGACTCATGACCTCTCTAATTATTACTTCGTTTGACTGTCCCATTCCTTACACAGTGAACCCATCTCAGCGATACTACAGAAGCAAAAAACACTACTACCCTCTTATTAGTCACTGGGGATGACCAACTCCATAATAGCTTGCTGATCTCTCAGCTTCTCACGTTGTTACGAACTAGCTACAGCATTGTTCAGGTTATGTTTTAGTCAGGTACTTATATTTTCACCATATCTGCTTAAACGCATATGTACAAAAATATTGTTAACATTATATAACTGTGGTCAGTGATTGCGTTCCGCATCTCACCTGAATGCTGTGGTTCCTTACGCTCCAGGGTTTTTTTATAGTAGATTTAGTTAAATCAAACACGGACCCACAAGCTGTTACATTCCGTCAAAGTATTAAAATGGACGTTTAATTGGTAGCAAAATCTATGCATGGATAGCTACTACTATGTAAAAATGCTTCCTAACCTCCTAGTTAATTTTTGTAACCCATAAAGTTGGTGAAGACATTAAGATGAATGGAATATGCACATATTAAAGTTAGTAGCACTAAAATAGGATGAGTGCAGTGAGTGTTTGCAAATGCATAGAAAAAACTGTCATTAAGTAAATGAATTTTAAATTCCCCATCTTGAGGCCAGTTGTTCGTTTCACTTGATATCTACCGATTTCAAAAAGAGTAACTTGAGGGTGAACACATTTCTGACCAACTGCAGTGTATAATTTCTTGTTAAGAGGTGAATCAGCTTTTTTTCTTCGAGCGAAGTTTTAGCAGTATATCTCCATTTCATCCATACTGTGTCTTTAGTCTGGTTTCGTGATTGTCCATCAACTCTCATTCTCCTCTAGTTTGTCCCTAAACTCACGCCCAACTCGTCGCCTCCCGTTGGCGTCAAACCCTAGAATCTGGCGTGTGATGTCACTCAACGGTCTCCTCAGAGTGTGTTCAATCCATCTCGACTTCCTCCGGCTATTATGTAGGCAATAAGTCTATCGTTGGTTTGTTGCTAGAATTCCTTATGGCTTATCCCTTCTGGCTGTCTTATCTTCAGTAAGGGGCGAAGACAACTCTTAATAAAAGTGTGCAGCAGCCTGTTGGAAATGCTTTTTGTGACGCGTTAAGTCTCTGACACACAAAGAAGAACTAACTGATTTGATATTAGTTTTAGATATCCGAATCTTGTTCATGATTCTGAGTGCAGCAGATTTCCCCACTTGTCTCAGGGTAATGAACACCGGTCTTGCTTTCCTGATATTGACTTTGTCATCGTCATCTGCAGTGGAAACGACACTGCCAAGATAAGCAAAAGAGGTGACTTCCTTTGGATTTTTTTTGTTCATATTGATTTTTACTTGTTGTTGAATAGGCACCTCTTTTATGTGTTCGCTTTAAGTTATGTCTTCGCTACATCTTCCACCAACTTTTTAGTTTTCTCCGCTAAATCTTTAACTTTTGTGAGACATGATGCATAAATCATCCATGAAGTTTAGATCTTCCAGAGTCTTCTTATCCATCTAAAGTATCTTTATCTTCTCGCTCCCTACGGTTGGCAGCATGACCCAGTCCACCACAATAAGGAATATCTTCGGCTATAGTGGGCAATCCTGTCTTGTTCTTGTCTTCACTTCAAAGGCTTTGGTGAGATTTCCGTTGTGAATCACTTTGCATGTGCATCACCATATAGCCGTTGAATGAGGTTTATAAATGTTTACGGTAGTTGTCAAATTACTACGCAATCAAAGCTGTCGTAGTCCTTTTCCAGGTCGTTGAATTTGAGGTGGCGAGTTGACTTCCACTCTAGACTTTGCTTTATGGTGATGCGTGGTGCTGCACTTTGATCCAAGCATGACTTATTTTTCTTGAATTCAGTGTGTTGCGGTTACAGTTTTCCACCTAGGGAATATTTCGGTCTTTTCAGGATAGTGCGACTTGACATTTCGCTTGCTGTCGATTTGAGCAGTTTTTTTAAGAGTCGAAGTAGCCATTCATTGAGTTGCAAGTTAAGGTTGGTTCAAGGGTCGTTGTCCACCTATAGTTTCCTTTGTTTCCCCTCTTTGGTAATTAGGTCACCTTCACTATTCTTCATTGATTACGCCTTTGCTACATGTAACCTCCGAATCAGCTAATATCTTGAGAGAGCCCATATGGTATCTACGTTACATATCCACTTAGTGTCATTCATATATGGGGCATAACTGGTTGTCAAAAAATACATGGCAGGATGCTCTAGGTGAGCAGAAGAATCTAATATCATCAGACATATGTAATGCCACAGCTGAATTAAATACAAAATCATGACAAAAACCAACTACAGAGGCACACATCTGAAAAAGGGACGACAGCCCATTGTTTTTACTCTAGACGTTACGTTAGTTACACTCAAGCTACTACGCCAAAAAGGTTGTGAGAAAGCTGCTGACTACCTTATAAACATGAAACTACTCTGTTGGTGCTCATCAGATGAGCACAGGCTAAAACTGCTTTTCCAGATTATGTTCTTTATCCCTTTTACAGCTGTTTTTTCCTGTACACATTCCTTCCACCAGTGAGGTGAATATTCAGATGACTTCAAGCTTATATACTTCTCATAGGATAGAAACGTGTGAAGACTGATAATCTTTCTTAACAGGTGATTTAACTTGGAGATTAGCACAGATTTTCACTAGTTAAAGTAGGCATAATTCTGGAAAGGGTGTGAATAGGAGAAAAAAGTGAATGGAAAGCAGAAATACGATTGGTAAATGCATCCTCTTTATTGTTATTGATCTCATAGTTCTTCAGTCATGAATTTCTTAGCCTACTGAGGATGCCAGTCAGAGTCTTTACATCTCTTTCGATATTGTGTGGTGAGCCAGATTTTGAATTTAAAAAAAAACAACAACTTAGAACTAGTGATCTTACTGGTTGTTAATCCAGTACCTGGTGCGTTTCAATACTGCGAATCACCAATTCTCTGTAAGTTGAGTTAGTGATGCTAGTTCGTGGAAGGTGTTCATTTCTGTGAAAAGTTTTCTTACTGTTTGTGTTTTTAGGTCTTACCGTGTGGATATTTGGCATTCAGTCTTTGTAGTTGGTTTTACGTACAATCTCAAGAAGCGGCTAATTGCGCCCGGGAGTTTTTAAAAAGTGCTACAAAGGACCAGACTGATAGTGTTTTGATACGTGATAAATTGAACAATCCGAAATCCCTTGAAAATAACAAGCACTTTTGGCCTACAGTCCTAAGTTTGGTTTTACAAGCTAGATGTCAAGATGCAGCCAGTCTACTTGTTTTGCATTCTAACTCTAACGGTCGTGGTCTTCGAAGTCTCCGCCAACTTTTGTCAGCTATGCCAGTCGCTTCGGATTCTGAAAAAGAAGGTAGGTTTCGTCTTCTGATATCAGTGTCTTATTACTGGTACATTTGAAATATCTGGTTGCTAATTAAGTTAGTTATGCGTAGTTAATCTATCCAATACATTAAAATATGCCTCTTTAGCCGTCAGGATTACGTGCAGAGCACCAAAACATTCATTGCGTCGGTGGCACAGTGGTTAGGACTCTCGCCGGCCATGCACAGGATCCGGGGTTCGATCCTCCGCCGACGCACACCTGATATCAATGGTCAGCCTGCAAAATTTGGGCTACCGATATCATATGCTGAAAATTCCATACTTGTACTAAAAATACGGTGTAGAATCAAGCTATAATCAAAAAAAAAATAAAAAAACTTTTATGCAAATGTTTTATTGATCCATTACAAACTGTAGTGCGAGCCAAATTTTGTAAGGGAATGAATGTCCATTTGTTTGTTCTCTTCAACTGTCGTTTGTTATGATCATAGAATCGTCGGCTCGAAAGCTTATGCATAAATGTATGGAAGTAACTTGATAATAATTTGATCAATATCCTTAGTCGGAACTTTTGTGTGAATCTATCTTACTCAGTCAGCACTACATATCTGTGGTAATGTAATGTGAGTAAAGCATTTGTTATGTTGTTTCGTGAACTACTTAGAATAGTCTGAGTATACTTCAAAACATTGAGATGCTTTTCTAAGGATATATGTCTTCATATTTTATGCCAATGTACATGGTAATTTAGAAAATATGTCTCGAAGCATTTTGCATGTTCCTTATCATGTTTTAAATGCAGTGTTATTCACCATGCATGTGCAGATTTGTGTGCTAGACGGCCAGCTTTACATACCGTACATAGGGTGTAAGCGCAATATCGCTTGAAATTAAGTCACGCGTAGATAAAGGCTATCCCGGTCCAGAACAAACAAGAAGCCGGTCACTGTTTCTACGGTACTATTAATTAACAAATCAATAAATATATATACAACAAACCTTAACGGTTTCAAGAGTACAATACACAATGCTTAACAGAAAGCAAGGAACCGCTATCAGAGCGGAATAACGTTAAAGCCAAAATTACGAACTAGCCGGATCAGACACGACCGTTCAGGTAAGCAGTCAGTAGAAGAATGAACCCAAGTAAGAGATAAACAAAGCATAGGCACAAAGATAGAATTTAATTGGCTACTTAACCAATCAATAAATAAGATAAACTCAACATAATAGTACAAATAAGACATGGGTCAGCAAAATAACAGTTCACAAAGAAATAAAACACACACAGTTAATTAAACAAGGTGGGATAGACACGTTGGGCATGGATAATTGTGTTGCAACAATGCTAGGCTGATCCGGGACAGGTTGACTTGATTCAAGGATAGGAATTGAATTGATCTTACATAGGGTAATGATGTTGTTCAGTTTCCGAAAGTGCGGCAGGTGGAAAAGTGCTTTAATTTATAAATCACTATTTGAAAGTTGACTACCTATCTTCCAATTACCAATTTGTGTGAAACTAAACGTAGACCCCACTTTATATCTGCCGGAAATCTTTAAATATTTGATTTTTCTGAAAACAGGTATATGGACTGAATATGGTGCTCAGTTTTCACAGGCTTGGAATTACTGGCAATCCGAGTGTCAACATCGGATGTCATCAGGAGAGTTCGAACATGTTGGTGGTGACGCAGTTTCAATCGAATATGTTAAGTTGATTGTGAATATAATTTCCGGGCGCACTTCTGTTTGGGATGATCCACGAATTCTGGAAGTTACTAAAGGTTCGCGTGGTTGGTATTTTCGTTTTGTGTCATTTGTCTTCTACACTGACCAGCTGGTGAATGTCGAAGGTCTTAGTAAAAATCTTGACCGGTGGTTAGCTTTGACATCAAAAGAAAATACTGAACCAGGTTCAAATTTTGATCAGGTGAGCAATAGTCTAACTTCATCTGATAAAGGTTTTCCTTGTACTTGATTTTTTCTATCTCATGTATTTTTATTATTATTATTATTATTATTGTATCCTTTAATTCCTAGAGGAACATAGGGCGTCAGCCGTGCGTCTCCATTGCGTTCGGTTCTCTGCTAGAGTCTTCACCTGGCTCCAAGTCTGTCCACACGTTTTCATCTCCTCTTCACATGACCTCCTCCAAGTCACCCACCCTCGCACTGACGACCAACTCGCCGCTTCCCTTTCGGGTTCCACTCGAGCGATGGCTTGTCTAGTGATGTCACTTGATGGTTTCCTCAGAGTATGGCCAGCCAATCCATCTCCATTTCTTCCTGCCTATTTGTTTCACAATCGGTTCCTGGTTGGTTCGCTCCCAGAGATCTCTGTTGCTGATCGTTTCTGGCCATCTGATCTTGAGTATTGATGTATAAATTTGTCAGACTATTATGCTCAACCATATTTCCTCTGAGATCAGTTCCTATAACTTTTCTCTTATCTTAGCATAGCCAAAGTCTTCTCTAAAAATGTAAAGAAATACCTAAAATACGGGATTGGGTAAAGTCATCATTTCGTATGTGGAAACAGAAAACAATGGAGTATAAAATAATACGGAGACGTGTACCGTTATCCGAAATTTTGATCATTCAATCTGTACTTTATCGATTTCAAACTGGAAGACTGGTTTCAACATAGAACTTTGCACCGATGTGCAGCATTTCGAGTCGTCAGACTTCACTTAGCACACAAAGCAAGAGAAGAAATGCAAAACAGAGACAGCAAACAGAGATGTATATCAAAAAGAATAGTAATATCGAAAAACCGTACAGTTTTATTGGATATTATAAGTCACAAGAAGTGGATGCATCTGCGCTAGCCATTGAGGACGATTTTGAGCCATATTACCAATTGTCTCCAGCCTTCATTGGATTTTACCGTCCTGAGGACCCCAACCAGGAAGTCTGCACCTTCCTACTTGGCTTAAACTAACTGTTGTGGATTTCGTTGACTGATGAAGCCATGTTTTTCGGTTTCACCACCGCTGGCTCTTTTCCAACCTGACCCTATGTCAGCTAATATTGCTCGTCAAGGAAGGAGATGGCATGTTTGTTGTGGGAATAAGATAAATATTAGTTTACATAAATTCACAGATAAATACCCAAGCTGAAATCGTGATTTTTACGATTATGAGTAACGCTTAAATTCAGAGTGGCTGTGAACTAATTAACTTAATAGTTTTTAGTTGTTTTGGTTTTGCAGGGATTCAATTGCTTTCACTTAGAGAACCACTGTAAGCCAGGGAGTACTAGACAGCTATTTCGTTCTTGTTTGGGACCATTTTGCAGTGCTTATTAGTGATTCACTGCAGGATAAAGTTGTCTGGAGTTCTACTGGAAAGTTGTGAACAATAGAGTCCATCAGGCTGGATGTGAAAATAGATACTCACTGATTACATTGGCTGGTGGTCGCGTTATATTGTGAATTGAAAAATTCAGAATTCACAAGTCACTGAATTCTAGCCCAGTGGTTATATGGTTAACTAGACTGTTGTGTAACCATTTCTGATGGGCTCTCGAGTGCGTACCGCTAAAGAGTTCCGGACAAGGAGAAAACAGCTGTCCAGTACTTCCTGGTTTACAGTGGTCCTCTAACTGAAGCCAATTTGTGATCAAAATTAACTAAATAGTTATTGGATTACATTATTATTATTATTCGTGTTGATCAATACCCACGTAGATGTCACTGCACTGAACTACACCTATTGCATGAGGGTTGGTGATCCTACCTGATTACTCAAATCTCAGTACGTGGAGTAGAGTTGAGTTTGACCTCGTAGCTCATCAGTTGGAAATCAAGTACCCTAACACAGTGAGTCACAATGTCGCATTGCTCATTTATAGGTTATATTAAATACTACTACCATTCTCAAAGTAAATCGTTATGAGAGCTATTCCAATGAATTCATGGGAATTCTCACTTATTTATTAATTGCTTGTTTCATTCATTTTGTCAGAGACGTGTACAAGCATAACTGTTAAGTTGCTTTTGTTATTGATTTTTTTTTTTACAGTCTGTTGATGCTATAATTACAAGCATTTTTCGTATGGATCTGTTTTCCTTTGTTCGTATATCAAGTGAAAAGTTGGGCAACTGGTGGTTTATTGCACACTTTACAAATCTTCTAAATCATATGTATCCGGGTATTTTAAATGAATGTCTAGGTGGATATAAAAAAGGTAAGATGTTGATTAAATATTCCCACCAAATTTATTGTTTTCTGAGAAAAGAAATAGCTCCTTGTAAACCTGCTTTCACCTAAGTGGTGGATAAATAATGTGTTATTTGTAATATTTTCTCCATTGTAAGATGACATATTTTACCAATTTAATTATTGGTTGGAGGATTTCATCATGAGCTAACATCAGTTGGAGGATCATTGGAAAACCTGCAGGGAGTATTGAACTGTTTGGGACTCTTCAGCAGTACGCACCCCCCGCCACTGGTCGAACTCAGGACCTTCTGGTCACAAGGTGAGCTCGTAGACCATTAAGCCAGTGCGACTTGATTCAATAGCCCATGAATTCTAACTTCTGCCAATTCATGACACATATCGCGACCACTTTGCAATGTCTTCTTCGATGAGTTACTGCCTCACCTTCAACCTGCTGTACCTTACTGGTCACGGCTTCCCACTAAAACCCAAGGTAGCTGCCTGAATAGGGCCAGTCACTAGCGAGCATCAGGTCAATTTTCAAGTATTGGTGTTTTGGGGGGATTTCGTTTGATTGGTTGGAGGATTTCACCATGAGCCATTGGATTGTGTCCTAGTGGCTTAATGGTCTACGAGCTCACCTTGTAATCAGAAGGTCCTGGGTTCGAACCCTGACTGTGGGTGCGTACTGCTGAAGAGTCCCAAACCAAACTGGCGAAACAGCTGTCCAGTACTCCCTTCAGGTTTCCCTATGGTTCTCTAACTGATGTCAGCTCATGATGAAATCCTCCAACCAATCAAACAACATCCCTACAAAACCAATACTTGAAAATTTAATTATTCCCTATGATAGCACCGGAAGCTTGTCTACGAAGTATCATTGCGGTTGAAGCACTATGGTTGATTATAAGTTGAGCTTACTAAGTGTATGAGTTCATGTTAGACAAAGTCACTCAGCGTCTTACGTGTACTGTATACTCTTGTTTGTTTTTTATTGTATTCATATATTTAATGCTGAAATATACTGAATATGAATATTGTATATTTCAGTACTTGTTAATTCTTTCTTTTCTTACATACATTTAATACTTCGTTGGTTGAAGGTAATGATTTAAGTTGATGAATTCATCCTGCTTTTGCGTTGAATAATTCTCCACCATAATTGCCTGAGTATTGATTACCTATAATATATATATATATATATATATATATATATATATATATATATATATATATATAACAGTATTACCTTGATACTCGACTATATTGTCACCTTAAAGGTCAATGAATAATTTATTATCATAATAAGGAAAATGTTTGGCGAAGTACTCATTGCTTTCATCTGCAAGCTGAATTCAAAGTGATATCAGTCTGTCTGTCTGTTTTCGACATAGAACTTAGCACATATGTGCGGCAGTTCAAGTCGCCACACAAAGCAAGAGAAGAAAGTAGGAAAAATGCATAATAAAGACAGTAAACAGAGGTGTGAGACAAAGGTATAGTAATAAGGAAGAACAAAACAGTTTCATTGGAAATCATAAGTCACAAGGAGTAGATGCATCTGCGCCATTGAGAACGATTTTGAGCCATATCACCAATTGTTTCCAGCCACTGGTTTTTACCGTCCCGAGGACCCCAACCAGTCAGGAAGTCTACACCTTCCTACGTGGCTTAAGCTAACTGTTGTGGATTTCATTGATTGATGAAGCCATGTTTTGGTTTGACCACCAGTGGCTCTTTTCCAGATAGACCCTATGTCAGCTAACATTGCCCGTCAAGGAAGGCGATGACTAGGTATACGTAACACATGTCCTAACCATCTCAATCGGTGTAACTTCACAGCCTCGTCGACTGATTTCCCCTCCTTACCTAGCACTCGACGCCTAACCCCAATATTGCTCACCTTATCATACAACTTCACGTGGGAGATAGAACGCAGACACCTATGATCGAAGACAGCTAATCTTTTCATGTCTTCCGCTCTCAATGGCCAGGTCTCACAGCCATAAAAGAGGACGGAGCGGACTGCTGAGCAGTACACACGCCCTTTAGTCGACAGCCAGCTGGATATCACGTCTACGCCAGAGACGGCGTAAACTGGCATATACGAAACTAGCCCTCTGTATTCGTGTTGAGATTTCGTCAGCGATCAATCAGTTGTGGCTGATGGTACTTCCCAAGTAAGTGAAGCGGTCAACGTGCTTTACCACTTCACTTCCTTTTTCTAATCTAGGGGTCGGTGTAGTCCAATCCTGCAACATCATCTTACATTTTACAGGGGCGAATCGCATGCCAAACATACGAAGATTGCTGTTCAAGGTGTTCAGAAGACTGCATTTTGTCAGCGTCCTCGCCTAGAAAGACTATATCGTCAGTGATATCAGTATAGTAGAGTTTGGCTAACAGAAGTCTATATTTTTGTGTTTATATAAGTTGTATAGATCCCTTGAAATGAAAAACACAACAACAAACAGACAACTACAATTTGTCTCTGTAAGACTGGTCATTATTATTGTTCCCTGTGGTTGTTGAAAAAGTATGACAAAATCCTTGGAAGTATTAAAATGAACTTGAAAGGAGAAATATATATAGCCTTGGTTATGCTCATGAATCTATGATTAGTTCAAAGGGAAAAAAAGGAGAGCTATGAAAACAAATAGCAATTAATTCACTAACTTTCTATATAAGGATTCGTTAGTTAAGTTAATTCCGTGGCTACGGAATTTTTGGTTTTTGTTTGAAAAAAAAATACATTTCGTAACGTGGAATGTTTCACTGTACCTTCGTAGTGTGAATATTTGTTTACCTATTATATTGAACATTGACTCTCCAGCTTGCATTTCTCCTTAATCTAAGTTTTCATCATTTTTCTGTAAGCGTTCATTATGGTATTACAAGGCTTAATGAATACGCATATAATATTTGATCATAAAAGCATGCTGGTCATATTAACTGTTGTATCTGAGGTCATTAGCTGATTGGCAATTAGTGGTGCTTAAAGTTTAACTTTGCCCTGATATATTCTATTTCTTGAGTTGTCTGTAGGATCCGAATAATTTCTCAGCATAAAATTACGCTGGTTGGTGAAATAAGCCTTTCATCAAATGTCGTTCATATGTTTCGATAAAATTATAGTACTGATAATCTTTGACTGTGTTCACACTGATTTGATGTGATATTGGATGGTTGGAGGCAATCGGCAGGAAGCCTTGGACCTAGCTTTCGTGCTAGTTGGCACTCACCAATCTGCAACCTTGAAGGAACTCATTTCCCCTCTGAGAGATTCAAACCCGTGTCACCTAGTGTTACAGTCAGAGACGTTGCTGCTGAGCTACTCGGGTTTGCGATTCACCTGCTGATCGCCTCCAATCGTCTAATATCATCAAATCCAATGTGCACCATGATGGCGAGCTACCTAAAACGGTGGCGGTCACATTGTAAACCTGACTGATAGAATTCGGTCCACACCAAAAAGATAGGACTAGACACATCACACTAGTTACTAGTGTCCATTTGAAGTGTGTTCATATTAATTAATTACTTTCTAAGCCACGTAGGAAGATGTAGACTTCCTGGTTGGGGCCCTCGGGATGGTAAAAACCAATGGTTGGAAACAATTGGTGACATGGCTCAAAATCGTTCTCAGTGGCGCAGATGCATCCACTCCTTGTGACTTATCATTTCCAATTAAACTGTTTTGTTCTCCGTTATTACTATTCCTTTGTCTCACACCTCTGTTTACTGTCTATATTATGCATTTCTTCTACTTCCTTCTCTTGCTTTGCGTGCTACATGGATTGTGGCGACTTGAACTGCCGCACATATGTGCAAAGTTCTATGTCGAAAACAGACAGACAGAATTAATTACTTCCCCTTGATAGTTAAATATAGGTCTCTGAAACATTTTCACTCATATTTTGACTGGACGCTAGTAACTCGTGTGATGTGTCTAGTCCTTTCTTTGGTATGGACTGAATTCTGTCAGTCAGGTTTGTAATGTGGCCACCATTCTAGACAGCTCGCCATCACGGTACACAATGATTCGATGATATTAAATGGTTGGAGGCAATCGACAGGAAGCCTTGGACCTACGTTTCGTGCTAGTTGGCACTCGTCAGCAAGGCGTATCTGCAACCTTGAGGGAACTCATGTCCCTTCTAAGATTCGAACCCGCGCCTTGCTGACGAGTGCCAACTAGCACGAAACGTAGGTCCGAGGCTTCCTGCCGATTGCCTCCAACCATCTAATATCATATTTTCACTCCCTATGAAATGCACTAAGGTTTTCAGTTATTTGTTGTACTGGAAAGGAATACTGTACAGCTTCTTTGCACAGTTCATTCGCTGATCTACCAGCCTGAAATTTATCTTGGCCTCAAACCAAAAGGCAAAATGTAGATAGCTCAAAATTTTTTCTGGTGAATAGTTCTTTGTAGAGTAGCATTGTTTTAGTCTATGTTGTGGAGAATTGTGATTAATCGGCTTGTCTTGTTGTTGAAGGTTATCTACTATAACACAGTTTATCATTGTTCATAATCATATCAGTTATAATCACACGACTTCAAAACTTGAGTTTTATAGTTTTCTTTATTCTTTCCTATTCGTCGTCGTAGGGGTAGTAGAATTTTCCAGATGTCTGGGTGGAGAGGTGTTGAATCATTCTTACTACACGTGTTTGCAGTTGACTCAATTAATAAAGCTTCCGTTATCAATCTCTCCCTCCACCCTGTGACATTAGCTTTTAAAACTGTCATCTTATCCCATCCTATTGTATGGTTGTTGTAATTGCGTGTAGTGAGTGGTATAGCTGAACTATTCTCTAGATTTCTTATCTTATTCGGGTCAACTAATCTAGATTTTGCTAGGTTTTTATGCTCGGCTAGTCTGACTGACTGCACCTGTTCTACTACTTGACTTATTATTTGACCTGACAATCATTGCAGACAGGGTATTAGATAAACTGAATTGTTTTGTTTCAAATGCTCCACAGGATTCTTTAACCGACAATGCTTGTTTCTAATTGAGTTTGTGGGTTTGAATGCCACTTTTATTCCTGGCTTGTTAAGAATTCTGCATAAGGTTTCCGAGGTTCCTTCTTTGTACGGAGGTGCTACTTACGATTTATATTCCCTATTGTTGGTGTTGTCATTATCTTGCGCATGTTTGACATGCATGTCGTCATTAATATTACTATTATTATTATCACTATCACTACTATCATTATTTATTTTATTTTTACATTTCTCTACATACTTTCTGACTAATTTATCAGGGTAATTATTAAGTTTCAAAGTTTCTCTTATATGCCTCACTTCTTGTCTGAGATATTCCTTGGTACTTCTTAGTTTTTGTGCTCTATTATTCAAACATCTCACCAATCCTATTTTCACTGACAAATATCTGTTTGAATGTGTGGGTTTCTTGTAAACACTATTGTTTAACTTCCCACCTATCCATGAATATATCTGACACAATCGGGGATATTGGTGGCTCCACGGCAATTCCCTCAGTTTGTCTGTATATTTCCCCTTGGAATTTAACTACTGTGGAAGTCAGGCATAGCTACACTCCAAGCAATGATGTCCTCTGGTGGCACTTTTGCTCAAAGTTGTTCAACTTCTTGGTTAAAAATGCGAACTATAAAACGAAAGTTTCAAAGTTGTGTGGTGGTATATAACTGATGCAATAATTATGAACAGTAATAAATTGTGTTCAAAATCATGTCATCCAGTAAATACTAATACTGTTGCACTATGTGATATATCTGATAAACAAATTAATATAGAATTATATACTACTACAGTGCCCAAGTTTTACACATATATATATATATATAAATTTACATTATTTGTTTATTACAGGTTCAGTGAAATCCACTTCTGAGCTCAGCGGTTCATCATATCAAGGTGAAAAGGGTGTTTCCATAGTTGAATTTTTCCTTTTGGGTTATGTGGAGTCTTTGTCTTCAGAAACTTGTTTACTGTCTATTGCACTTGGATATTTAGATCATTGTAAATCTGGCCGAACACTCCAATCCACCTTATTGTTGAGACATGCTCGGCCAGTATCAAATAGAGCTACAAACTGGGTAAGTTGAATAAGCGTTTGTGTTTGTGTGTCTGCACATATTTACTTATAATAATAATAATTTTTTTTTAAATATGCTAAACTTTAAGTCTTTACATCTTACTGTTTTGCAAACTTTCACTTGCAAATCCTCCAAATCACAAACTTTAGTTACGTAATTGAACTATGAAGTGAACTGGATTTTCACCGTATAGCAGCTGCACAAAAGTTGAACACTTCAAGTTGCCACACTTCATGGGATTATACACAAAGGCAGAGGAAGAAATGCAAAAAAGGAACTATAATAAATAGAGATGTACAAAAGGAAAGAATGATTGTGAAGAGAGAATAATAAGAATGTAATGGGTCTGGGAGTTCTTAAAGTGTGTGAATCCATCTGCGCAATTGAGAATGGTTTAAAACCACGTCACCGGTCTCTAATCATGAGTTCTTAGCACGCTGAGGACGCCAACCAGTCAATCTACACTTCCCTACGTGCCCCCCCCCCAAAAAACAATAAATTACTTCATGACTCAAGACTATATTTTGATTTGAGCACCACTAATTCTTTTCCAGCCTAGTCCTATGTTTATTTATTTTTTTTAATTATTGTTCCCTTGGGTTCCTAGTGGAACATAGGGCTTCAACTGCACGTATCCACTTGCTTCTGTCTTCTGTACTTTTCACCTGCATCCATGTTAGTCCATACTGTTTCAGCTCCTCTTCACACGATCTCCTCCATGTCACCCTTGGACGTCCCACTCGCCGCTTCCCTTTCGGGTTCCACTCGAGCAATGGCCTGACGCGCGATGTCACCCAGTGGCCTCCTCAGCGAGTGTCCAATCCATCTCCACTTTCTCCTGCATATTTGTTGGGCGATTGGTTCTTGTTTTGTTTGTTCCCATAGTTTCTTGTTGGTGATTCTTTCCGGCCATCTGATCTTCAGTATAGAGCGAAGACAGTTGTTGATAAAGGTCTGCAACAGGCTGTTGGAAATATTCTTTGTGACCCGCCAAGTTTTCTGATCCGTATAGAAAAACTGACTTGACGTTTGTATTGAAAATCCGAATTTTGTTGTTGATGCTGAGTGACGAAGATTTCCAAATTGGTTTCAGGTTGATGAATGTGTTTCTCGCCTTCCCGATTCTCGATTTGACATCCTCGTCCGTTCCTCCTGTAGTTGAGACAATGCTCCCTAGATAAGTGAATGAAGTAACCTCTTTCAAATCCCTCCCGTTGATGGTGATTGGCGCTGGATGTTGCTGTTGTTGTTGTTGTTGTTGGTTGGTTATTTTCATAACCTCCGTCTTGTCTATGTTCACCTGGAGTCCTGTCTTTGCTGCTTCTTCGACCAGTTTGTCGGTTTTCGCTTGTAAGTCTTCGATTTTGTGTGACATCAGACATAAGTCATCCGCGAAATCCAGGTCTTCTAGGTTCTTCACGTCGGTCCAGGATATCCCTGTCTTCTCGTTTCCCACTGTCTGACGCATAATCCAGTCCACCACAATTAGGAATATCATTGGTGATAATAAGCACCCTTGTCTGACTCCTGTGTTTACTCCAAACGCCTCACTGAGTTTTCCGTTGTGGATCACTTGACATGTGCCGTTGTCGTACAGCTGTTGAATAAGGTTGATGAATATTTGGGGTACGCCGTAGTACTTGAGTAGTTTCCAAATTACTTCGCGGTCAACGCTGTCGAAGGCCTTCTCAAAGTCTATAAAGTTGAGGTAGAGGTTTGATTGCCATTCCATGCTTTGTTCGATGATGATGCGTAGAGTTGCAATTTGGTCAGAACATGATTTGCCTTTCCTGAATCCAGCTTGTTCTGGTAGGAGTACTGTATCCAGTGCGTCCTTTATTCTCTTCAGGATGATGCGACTCAGAATTTTACTTGGCGTCGACAGGAGCATGGTTCCTCACCAGTTCTTGCAGAGTCCTATGTTGGTTAACCATTATTCGATGAGAAAGGCCGGTGGCTTGGTATGCGCGTAACACGTGTCTTAGCCATCTCAGTCGACTAACTTCGCCTCTTTACATGTGACAGAACTAGACTTATCAGTTAATTTATAGGCATACAAGTTTTTCTACTGTTATAGGAATATTCTGTGACAAGCAGGAATATTTATGGTATAATAGAGAAGATTTGTAGCTCAGGTGGATGATTTGCAATTAATAGTGTTCTCTGAGCTGGTTGGTTTAGTTGCGAAGCTTTCGTCGTCCTTCTGGACAACATCTTCAGCGCCATATTTAGCACAAAGTGAAAACTTCGCAACTAAACCAACCAGCTCAGAGAACACTATTAATTGCAAATATTTATGGTATGTTGTAGGATGTTTAACAGTCGAATCGATAATTTAGGTAAGATCTTTTAAACTCCGTTGATTTATGGGAATCGGTTTTACCCCTAGCCTTATCATTTTACGGTTAATAGCGTATAAAGTTAAACAGAGTCAATGCACAAGTTAGTTATGTTGTTAATCCGTTTATCACCTTGGTGCTTATTTTAAATTACGGTGAGTTAAATAGTTTTGTTATGATGCAAAATAAAGCTTTGGAATATGTAGTTGTTATGCTTGTCTTTGTGACATATCCTTTTCATTTTTTTTAGTTACTCTTTTAAGTACATGTATTATTATAATTATCTTATTGTTTGTGTTTAAATAGTTCATCATTCAAGCCCAAATTAGAGGACTACATTCTACTGTTGAAGAAATCGCCAGGCTAAATTGTCGTAGATATTTAAATTTGTCTCTACAATCCAATGAAAGCACCAACCACTTAATACCTGTATATGCTTCGACATGCATGGCTGTTGGATGGGCTTTACGTGCACATGATTATCCGACTGTTAATCGGTTGGCTGAGATTTCTCTTGCTAGAGATTGTGGATTTATGAATAAGGATATATCGGATGGAGATCAAAAAGCCGCCGCCTATTCTGTAAATTCAGAAGTCAGTAAGTTGGCAGCGATAATACGCGGATATTTTAGAACATTGCCAGTTAGTGAATCTTCAAGCAACACTGCGCAAACAACAACACAGATCAGTCGCCTTCCCTTATCACCTGAATTGGCTTTCTTAATCCGTTATTCTGAACTGCAACAATGCTTTAATGATGGTCATGTCGAAAGTGCAGTTGATCGCCTAATTGATCTCTTAGTTACAAGTTCTGGTGTTTCTTCTACTTCCAATACCGATAAACAAGATTGGACAAATTCTTCATCCTTAAGTATAGATTTACGCATACCAACTCGTCTCAAAATAAGACTACTATCTGAAGTGAGACATTTGTTGGGACGGAATCGTCTACGTCGAGATCAGGTTGAAGTGTTGATTAGTGCTCTTGTTGAATTAAGAGCAGACTTAGACATGAATTGTAACAATACAAGCATCAACACTGAAATGCATTCTTTATTAACGAAAATCCATATGTCTCTTGCCAAAGAATTGGCGTCAACATTTTTCAGCCCTTGTGAAAGCATTCCTTTAACTCCATCTGAATCACCCAACAGTGCAGTTAGTTTGGATTGGCCTTAATTGTTTTTTTCTTCTTTCTTTCAGCTAATATCATCTTCTTTAAAAAAAAGATTTTCCACATTGTAAAAATCTTTCCTCATTGTACATTTTTCATGATTTTATGTATTCTGTTCATTTAGTAGTAAAGATTTCAATATTTTGCTTTATTGTGAATATGTTGTACAATCTTTAAATATATGGGGCTTGCCGCCATCACTATGTTTGTATCCGAGATTAGTTGTTGATTAAATTATTTTCCAGTGTGAAGTAATTTCAGTTTCGATTTTAATGAGTATATATATATATATATGTATATAACATAGGTTAGAATCGATGGCGCGTGCTTTTGCTTCGCGTTGTATGTCTTCTGTTTACACAAATGTAAGCTACGATCGTAGCTTAATGAGCAAATTAAGTTTTAGCCACAGATTCTCTGTAATTTCTTCATTTTTAGCAAAAATATTCATTCAGACATCTATAAAACACAAGATAATCGAGCAAAGAATATTCTTTTCGATAAATTCCTCTTCTGACTACAATTATATATATATATATATATGTTTATATACATAGAATATTCTAGATTAGTAGTTAATAACAATATTAGCGTTTTTTTAAATAATATCGATTTGTAAAGTATGATCAATGCTATTGCAGTTCATTAAAGATGCTTAAATTATAATAATAATAAAGACATAACAGCGAATAGAATATCAACTAAAATTAGGGAAATTTCCACAAAGATTCATGATCATTCAAACCTGGATGGCCAAGGTAATAATAATGTCTGAACTAGCTTCTTTTGGATGCATAAATTAGGCTTATTAATATGGATCCCCACAGCCTCAGCAATATTTAGTAGTCGAACTCTTAAGGCAAAATTGAGATTCGTAGGTATGCGGTAAATGACCCTGAAAGCATGATTAACGTCAATCTTGTGTTCTGTATTCACAAGATGAGACAGAATAGCGCTTCAAATAGATTTCTGTGTGTCCTTTGCTTAACCAGGCAGGGTGATGTTCGGAAATTTGACGAGAAACACGCCTGATTGTACGGCCTATGTATATAAACATATATATAATTGTAGAGCCGGAAGAGGAATTTATCGAAAAGAATATTCTTTGCTCGATTATTTTGTGTTTTATAGATTTCTTCATTTGCTGCTTAATTTCATAAGAGTCTACTATAAAAACAGTACACATAGTCGTCCTGTTGAAGCGTACTTTTAGTTTAAACAGAAAGGACTTGTATAACAATAGTGATCAGTGGCGGTTGGTGGTTAAAGCTGTAGTATTATCAGAATATTTGTATCATTTATCTCACAATAGTCTGTTCACATAGACTATTTGTTACAGCTAAGCAGTCTCTAAGTAGTAGCAACAACAATTCTACCGTTTACTACAAACGTCGCTAAGGTATCAGAAAGCTTGAGATAGTGATTTGCTGATTTAAAATTGGAATTATCTCCTTGCTGTCGGTTTTACGTTATGACATGCGTTTCATTTATCCCACTGCTTTAGTGATTATTTTTTTAAATTACTAATATTCCCGGTTTAGGAGAGAGCCATTTTGCTATATATATATATATATATATATATATATATATATATGCACATGGTCCGGGGTTCGATCCCCTGCCGACGCACACCTGATTATCTATGGTCGGCCTGCAAAATTTGGGCTACCGATATCACATGCTGAAAATTCCATACCTATACCAAAAAATACGGCGTGGAATCAAGCTGTAATCAAAAATAAAATTTTATATATATATATTCGTGATTTATTCTCTTTGAAATATTTCATCCATTGAACGATGGTAGCGTTAAGACGGCTCAGGGATATGCAGATCTTATGTTTTCCCCCTAGCTGGGTAAGAAACTGCACATTTTGCTTATCTATTTATTGTTTCATTTAAAAAAACAAAACCTGATACAAAATGTCACTAAGAAGATGAGCCACACAATAATGATAATAAAACAGCATATGAAAAAAAACAAGGTAAAGAATGAATAAGGGATTTTATCTGGGAAGAAAGTAGTTATATTTGACAAGACTAAACGGTATTCGTCGAATTATTTCCAGAAAAAAGAAGGGAATTACAACACGTTCACCATTGATTGTGATTCTTTGCTATATACGATAACATTTCGAGATACCGATTTGAACTATCCCTCGGACTTCAACCAGGAAGTCGTGACGCACCAACTGATGCTAACTTACCAAGAATATCCTTGGTTCCGCGATGCCGCGTCATGCTTTGACCACCTCCGCTTTTTCTATCCCGTCCCAGGGCTAGTGGACAGAGACTGGTACGGAAGCCTCTGGGATGACATTTGTAGCACATGTCCGAGCCACTGGAGCCGGTGTTTCCAGGTGACGACACTTAATGATTTGTGGTCTCCACTGTGTCGAAACACGCCACCGGACCTCAGGGTCACTCACACGGTGATGCTATTGAACAATTCCACGGAGACAGTGGTGATCGAGTACGCAGAATCGCCGTACATCTTCAGCTTGGAGAGGCCAGGTTTCGTAAGCGTAGAGCAGAACAGCGCTCACCGAAGGGTTGTGAATTCGGCCTTCGACAGCCAGGCTGATGTCACAACGGTCCCAGAGGTGGCTCAAGTTGACGTATGCCACCCTAGCTTTTGTGATGCGGTCGGAAATCTCAAACTTCATACCTCCGCCAGCACTCACACAGGTACACTGACTTATCGACGACTTTAAGTGGTTCACCTGCAAGAATGAGTGCAGGTACAGGCTCCTGCCGGTGTCTGGCTGACACCTTGTTTCTTGCTGCTGGTGGCTTGGGTAAACTAGAACAGCTTCTGACTGTCGCCAGATGTAGCTGCTGACTCCATCTCACACACGTTCTGACCACCAGACTTCGTGGTCCTTACGTAAGCACTGTCTAATCTTGCGCATAACCGTGTTCCGCATGTTGTCGTATTGGCTATCTGCTGGAACGGGCTGACGATCATCCAACCGTTGCAAGGAACTCTTATAAACCCAGTGACTTTTGGCGGAGCGTTCTTTTAAGTCGCAAGCGGCTTTACTCGCAAATTGCATGGCTCCTTGCAGACGTAGCCAATGTAGTTTGTTGGGTCACCGCGGTACTCATTCTCGACCACCATGATAAGGTCACAGTTATCGGCCGGGCATATTTTGCTTACCAAGCAAGTTGCTGAAATAAGAGGCTGGAATGGTATGTCACATTGGATTTTAGTATTTTATGCTTTGCTTTTTGTTGGGATATAGGTATTAAAAATGTTTCACTTGTTTGGATGTAGAAAGTTGAGAATATGTCCTGAATAAATTTATAACTTCTTTCCATCAACTTTCCATCGGAATTAGAAAGTGAAAATTTCACTTCTGCTTTAATTCCTCCCTAAACTTCTAAGAGTAAGCACAATATGGAATACTGATGATTAAGTGTTCTAGCAGTAATAGATTATATGATTTACCAGATGTCTACGATCCCTTTCTCACATTAGGTGGTATAATAAGGTAGGTAATGTTGACATTAGGCGTAGAGTGTTGGGCAAAGAGGGAAAATCAATCGAAGAGGCTATAAAGTTACATAGATTGAGATGGCTAGGTCACGTGCTGCGAATGCCTAACCATCGCCTCCCCCGACGGGCATTACTAGCTGATATAGGTGCAGGTTGGAAAAGAGTAAGTGGTGGCCAAACAAAAACATGGCCTCATCAATCCATGAAATCCCTGTCAGTTAAACTGAGTCAGGTAGGGAGGGAGATGCAGACTACCGGGTTGGGGCCCTCGGGACTCTAAGAACCAATGGCTGGAGACAATAGGTGACATGGCTCAAAATCGTTGTCAATGGCTTACGCAGATGTATTCAGTCTCTGTAATCTTTCATATTCCTTTCTACCATCACTCATTCTGTTTCACTCTTATACTTGTCAAAACTCTATTGATTCTCTTCACTCATTTTCTTGTCTACCTTTGTGTGCTATTTGGAACGTGGCAACTCGAACTTCTGCACTTCGGTGCCAAGTTCTATGTTGAATCCAGCCAGAGACATAAGGGAGAAAGAGCATAACCTTATCGGGAGAATTACGCAACATGTTTCCACTATGCTTATTTATTGTGGACATTACATTCCTTTTTTTTAAATACGCGTATGCAAGTTAGTAGTTTGTTCAATACTGAACATTAAGAATTTCTCGGTGAAATGAGCAAAGGAATCGTAAAACCGAGCGAAACTCAAATAAACTACTTAATTTAATTAGTAAATTATTTTGTACTACTAGTAAGTAGCATAGACAGTTTAATGGAATCGTAATTCATTTTGTCTGTCATGTTCATCAATTACATTATTTTGGTCCTGCCTTCTTAATTTGCCAATAAGGTTGAAATATCAAACAGATAATTTGGCATTGAAGATAACACAGTCTGTTTACTTTTGTCTTCCGAAATGCTATTGCGTCACGTATTTATTTAGGACGGTGATTAAAACAGCGTTATTGTTAAACGAACTTCATTGCTGATGAAGAGTCTCAAACTAGGACGAAACATCTGTCCAGTACTCCCAAGTTTCCCAGTGGCACTCCAACTGATGTCAGCTCATAATGAAATCCTCCATCCAATCAAACAAAACCAATACTTGAGAACTTCATTCTGAACAAATATGATCGGTTGTGTATTCAGGAAAGTGAAATGTTCACAAAACATACTAAAAGTTTATGCAGGATGGGATTGCTAGTCTCATGCCCAACCTTCCCTCTTTACCAGTCTTATTACTGGCTTAGCGAGGTAAAGGAGTGCGTCAGCCGGGGTTCGAACCCCGGACCATGTACATGGTTGGGGAGCGTCCTAACCTCTGTGCCACCGACGCACAGCATCACAGTGGTAGCGTGCCTGTAGGCTTGCCTTCTATCCCTCTCGAAATTATGCACCCAGTCTTAATAGTTAACTATGAGCCTAAATCAGTTAGGTAGGTTTGAGTTAATCTGGAATTCAGATGTCTTTGCATTTATCTGACAGTTTATCCAAATCGAATTGTTCAGACAGTAAATTTACTGTCAATAAATATATCATGAATTACATACACTGTGTGCCGGCAGTCGCCTTTTATTCTTACCATACCATTATGGGACAATAAAATGTCAAGAAACAGTCATCTGTTGGATAATCGGGATTTATAAAGTTTACAGTCACAACAATGTCGTGTATTTTTAACAGTATTAAAACTTCACGATTCACCTACCTCAAGTAAACAGTTCCCAATGACTTTTTTTAGCAACTAAGCTTTTTTATTTAGTAGGTT